ACCAAATCAGAAGTGTTTTGAGTAACTACGGTACCTAACAACTTCGGAAATCTTTCTCTGAAGAATCACTTAAGCTATTAAGTTTCTGAGAAGTGGAGTACTTCCTATTTTAACAAATGAAAATAATTTATGATGCAAAGGAGGATAATGAAGAATTAGCATATTTTTACCTGCCCCAAATTTTTGAAATAAATCAGGCTGAAAATAAACAAAGAGAGACCTAAACTCTGTTGTGTTAATGAAGAGAGTTGGGCAATTCAAATTGTCAATGATGTAGTTCAAATAGAAAAAACCTGTTTCCATGTATCCTGTCTGTTGCTACATATGTAATGAAGCCTCAGCTATGTTGGGGAATTCTAGGAGTTGAAGTCCACAAATCTTAAAAGTTGCTAAGGGTAAGAAACACTGGTATATACAGTCCACCTTCCCTTAAGCTTCAATGCAAATATTATATTGTTATGCCCTCACATACAAGGTTTGACATAATTTCCATTGCTAGCTCTTGGACCATCACCACATAAAATAGAGAAGTTCCCCTTTCCAAGCCACTGAAAGTATGAAAGTCTCCAATTTCTGATAGAGGATTTGAACCTTCCACATCTGGAGAGTCCCTATAAAAAAACAAAAATTGGTTACAAAGTACTTCCTGGTAGTCAATGTAATTGAAATAAATCTTACAAAATTTTCACCCTTATCTTCCAATCTTCCTTTTGCTCTATTCTTTGATACCATCTACAAATGAACCCTTATACATAACATCCTGATTGATTGCTGTTCCCAGATCATTGTAGACGCATTCTACCTTTGCTTTGTTGTTACTGACAGATCACAAATACTTCCAGAACCCCATTGAGTATGTGCAAAAGTAAGCAGGAAACACAATGAGCAGTCTGTCTTTCCAATGAAAAAAAAAGAAAGCACCAAGACAGATATCTACGAATGTATTTTTCACCAATGCAAGAGCATAGAACAGTGGTGGCGAACCTATGGCACGCGTGCCAGAGGCGGCACTCAGAGCCCTCTCTGTGGGCACGTACGCTATGCCCCAGAGATGGCAACCATCCCTCTTCAAGCAGCCGCCCGCTAACTCGCCGAGGTCTCACATGGCCAGATGCATCCCAGCATGGCTGGTTTCTCTCCCCCCGTCCCATCCCTCCTGGCCTCGCATGCTCTCCTTTTCCTGGGCATGACCCACTGCATCACCTCCTCAGCTGTCGGCCGGTCGTCGAGCATAGAGGCAGCTTCTCTGAACTGCTGGCAGCGGGCTGCGGAACCCCAGATTGCGCCGGTTGAGGGGCCGGCAGGCTGTGGCTGCTGATGGACACCATCGGCCCGATGCACTCGCTGGCCTCTGTGTGCAGGGGCCAATGGTGTCAGGCAGCAGCCGCCCCGGCCCCTGCCTCACCTTGCCCTGCAACAATGGCACCTCTGCCCTGCCTTGCCTCCCCTCACCCCAGACGACGAGCCTCCTGCCCACTGTCCCACCCACCAGAGACCCCTGGATCTCCCCCAACCCTGTCTGGCCCCCACAGGAGTCCCTGCCCATGAGGAACATTGAGGTGACCATGCCCACCTTGGCCACACCCACCCATTCTGCCATGACCACCATAGCCACGCCCACCCACCTGGCACCCGGCGATAAATAAGTGGGTTTTGGGTTGCAGTTTGGGCACTCAGCTCTAAAAGGTTCGCCATCACTGGCATAGAAGCAAGAAAAAAAGCTGGGTTTCCCCAAACTACAGAGTAGTTGGTGGTTTTTAGTTTTTGTTGCTTTCAAAGTACCCTACTAGCATCCATCTAGTGCTGCATGATTGATAGGAACATGTTCTTAAGCAGACATGAGTCTAATTCTTCTGTAGTAAACCTCAACGACTTGCAATGAAAGTTAATAGAAGGCTGCATATCAGATGCAGAATAAAAATACAATTTACAGTTCTGGATAAGACTGACAGCTTGCACAATACAATGCTTATTCAATGTAAGTAAGATGAAATACAGTACATGTAGTCCTCAACTTATAACAGTTCATTTAGTGATCGTTCAAAGTTACAACAGCATTGAAAAAAGTGACTTATGACCATTTTCCACAGTTACGCCTGTTGCAGCATCTTCAAGGTCATGTGATCAAAATTCAGATGCATGGCATATGGTTCATATTTATGATGGTTGCAGGGTCCTGGGTTCATGTGATCATCTTTTGCAACTTTCTGACAAGCAAAGTCAATGGGAAAGCCAGATTCACTTAACAACTGTGTTAGCAACTTAACTGCAAAGATTCATTTAACAACTGTGGCAAGAAAGGTCATAAAACAGGGCAAAACTCACTTAACAAATGTCTCAGCAACATAAATTTTGGGCTCAGTTGTGGTTAAGTTGAGGACTACCTGTATAAGAAAAAACAGAGAGCAGGGAAAGTGAGATTTGCTAGGTTTATATTCTGCCTTTCAAAACTTCAAGGCACGATGTAGGAAACTTCATTTTATCCTATCAATTTGCTGGGATAAATTAGACAAAAATGAGTGATTGTCTAAAGTCACCAGTGAATTTCCACAGCTGAGGGTGGAACTTGTGGCTGGATTTCCCATCCAGTCCTTTAACCACTATTCCTCATAGCAAGGTTCCCCAAAGTGGTCAATATAGATTCCCTCCCCAACAATTGATGGGACTATGGATGGGACTATAGAGCTGTGGTGGCACAGTGGTTAGATTACAATATTGCAGGCTAATTCTGCTGATTGCCAAAGTTTGATTCCCATCTGTTCAAGGTTGACTCAGCCTTCCATCTTTCTGAGATTGGTAAAATGAGGCCCCAGATTTTTGGGGGCAATAGGCTGATTCTGTAAACTGCTTAGAGACAGCTCTAAAGCACTCTGAAGCGGTATATAAGTCTAAGGCAGACATGTCAAACACAAGGCCTGGGGGCCGGATGTGGCCCGTGAAGTGGTTTCATGTGGCCCATGAAGCCATCCTGGAAACAGTGAGGGAACGGCCCCTGCTGCCTTGGCCCTGGCCCAGGCCGGCCGGGAGCCAATGTACAATTCTGTGGTGGCCACCTATGCTGAAACACATTCAGTCTTAGCTCCACAAGGCCACCTAGAAACAGCAAGGAACCAGCCCCTGCCGTGTCGGCCCCGCCCCCTGGGTGCATGCTGGGGTGGTGTCACCCTTTGTGAGGAATGAAGAAATGCACCATGCCTTGGCGCTTGCCCCGTCCCACTCCTTTCTGCCAGAGACCCTCAGATCTGTCCCACTCCTGCCCAGGCCCCAAAGGCACCCTTGATGCCCACCCTGACCACGCCCACCCAGCAGGCCACACCCACTTCATCCACACCCACCCAGTAGGGCATGCCCACCCTGGCCACACCCACCCATCCCTCCCAGGGCAACCGCAATGCTGATGCGGCCCTCAATGAAATTGAGTTTGACATCCCTGGTTTAAGTGCTTTTGCTACCCAAGGAGTTGACATTATTTGTAGTGCTGTTAATTAAGTAGCATTCTTTATATTATTTCATCTTATGATTTATGATGAATGTATTTTTGTGATGATTATGATCATGATTTATCACTTGTTGCTTGTATGTACACTGAGAGCTTATGCACCGGAGACAAATTCCTTGTGTGTCCAATCACACTTGGCCAATAAAGAATTCTATATAATAAATGTTTGGGAGTCAATAAGCTGAAGACTTTGAGGAATCCTGCCTTACAGGAAAGATAAAGAATCCCAGTTTTATAAAGTAGCTCTAATGTGCTTCATTGAGAATTCACCCCAGTAGGAGGAGCGCAAAGAAATAACTCAATATTTCACTTCCTGGCACACAACCTGCATATTAACAACTCGTTTAGCGGTAGTACCCTTTTTTTAATAAGTGCCACGATGTTGCTAAAATAAAAGAGATAAACTTCGTGACCCTCCCACCCCGTGCATAAAACAGATACGAAAAGCCTTAAGCCATTTTCGTTCCCAAATACTAAGGTTTCCCCCGAGTTTTGCGCGGTTAAAACGAACGGCATTTGCGTATTAATGTTTCTCCATGGAGCACCGACAAAATTCGCCTGAATTAAGGAAAGTGGGGAGCTAAGGAATATCTGGGGCTACGGGGCATGCCTCTGGCACGACGGGCAACCCTGGCCGACGGGAAACACGAGGACTGTAGCGGCACCCTCCGTTCGCACGTTCAGATCCGGGAAAGCGCCCGGAGCCTCCTCCGTTATTTCTAACGGAACGTCTCCACGCCCACGTCCCGCCCGCCTCGCCTTTTAAACCCCGCCCCCTTTCGCCCGTAACGTTTCCCTGCTCCGCCTGCTCTGTGATTGGCCCAGCTTGCTCCTTCCCCGCCAAAGAGGGGGCCTCGCCTTCTTTCCTCTGAGCTCTCTCGGCTGGTGCGCCGCTGCTCTCAGTTCCGCACTCCGTGACCGGGCAAGCGATTGTTCTGGCTGGCGCGGGTCAGGCGGTGCCTCGGCGGGAGCAAAGGTGCTCCCTTCCTACGGTCGAGCGCCGGGGCGCCTCTGGGGACCGCCTGCCCCTCCTCTCGTCGGGGACCTGACAGCCAGCATTGGAGGCGCCAGCATGGCCAGTCCTAGAGAGAGCGGCGGCGGCGGCGGCGGCGGCGGCAGCAGTAGCCGCCCCAGGAGCTGACGAGTGTTTGCCCTCCATCACCCGTTCGCCGTCGGCCGCTTAACCACGGGTCGCCGTCGCCTGCCTCCATTCAGACCAGGGCTCCAGCCGAGTGGGAGTCGTGTTTTTGCGAAGAGGCGGCGGCCGTGGCGGCGGCAAGGGACTCGAGAAAACTTCCTGTCGCTGGGGAAGGACGACGAAGTTGCCCCCCCGGCAGCGGCTGCCCGAGACGACGGGCGCGGGCTAGTCCCGCTCCTAGCCCGCACTGAGTGGGGCGGCGGCGGGGGCGGCTGCCGCAGGGGGAGCCTTGCAAACGGGCCGCCCCGCGGTTGTCCCGCGGCCGTCGTCCTCCTCTAGCCGGAACTTATCGGCGGGGCTGTCATGCCAGCCGTCAGCCTGCTGCCGCTCTTCGGCAGCCCCGCGAGCCCGGGCGCTTTGGGGGGCTCCTTAGGCGGGGGGGCCTTGGGGGGCCCCGGAGGGCGAAAGGGGCCCGGCCCCAGCGGCGCGTTCCGGCTGACGGAAAAGTTCGTGCTGCTGTTGGTCTTCAGCGCCTTCATCACGCTTTGCTTCGGGGCCATCTTCTTCCTGCCGGACTCCCCCAAACTGTTCAGCAACGTCTTCTTCCACTCGACCACCCTCCAGCAGCCGCCGCCGCCGGGGCCGGGGCCACCCGCCCAGGGCGATGCGCACCTCCCGCCGCCGCCGGCGGGTGCGGGGAGTAGCAGCAGTTTCGGGGCCGGCGCGGCGGAGGAAGCGGCGGAGAACTTGGCCAAGATCCGTGAGGATCATGAGCGCGCTTTGCGAGAGGCGAAAGAGACGCTGCAAAAGCTGCCCGACGAGATCCGCAGGGAGATCCACCAGGACAAGGTGAAGCTCCTCCTGCAGGACAAGTTGGGCAGGGGAGAGACGGGGGCTCCCGGGTTGCCCGACCTGCCTTTCCGCAAACCTATCGGGGCCGTAGGAACGGAACCCAGCGATCCCGCCGTCCAGCAGAAAAGAGAAAAGATCAGAGAGGTGAGTAACTACTGCAAGCGCTGAAATATACAGCCCTTGTGATTTCTTTCTTTTTTTTTTTTCCCTCCCCACGACCTCTGGAGCGGTCGGTCACTTTTCTCTTTCTCCAAGGGTAAGTTGGTTTGTTTATTTGCACTCTTCTTAAAACCTTTTTCTTGCTATTCGCGACCTTCAAGACCTGCTTCCGCCGCTTGTTTGCAAGGGAATTAACAGCTATTGTGCTTAGGGTGCGGTCCTGTGATGGACACGACATCTTTTGACGTGAGCAGGAAACTTCTAATGCGGAATGGATGGGACACGTGTCGCTCTTGTAAAATTGACAACGTGGGCAGTCTTTGGAGAAAGCAAATTGTACCAACCCTGTTTCTCAAGTCCTTGATCCAAAGCTGAAACGTGGTGACAATTTACACTGATTTAGCTTTAATCTCTACAGTTGAGAAGCCAAGGCTAGAGAAGGTGTGATGGGGAGAATGGTGTCAAAGCCAGAAGAAGGGAAAGAAAGAAAATGTCTTGTGTTTTTACTTTAATTTTGCTATTAGAAACAACTACTGCTAGAAAGTTTTTTTGGGGGGGAAGAAACAATACAATACAGTATAATATGATAAAATATTTCTGTGATTGTCACTCAAGATTTCTATCCACAACTGTAACATTTAATGGATAATATGAGGGGGGGATTATTGAAAAACATAGCAGCTTTACAAACTAATTACATTTGCATACCAGTCTCTGAACCAAATTTGTTTAATATTCCAAGACAAAATTAAAGAACTTAAACCTTAACTACATGTTTTGAATTAACAGACTCATCTGTAACATGTTAACTGGTGGATATCATTAGTTAAGAAGATAAATATTGCTAAAAGTACAGTACTGTTTGACAACCAGTAGTGTCCATTTTCTAATGCTGTAAAGTTTAGAGTACTGTCCTAGTCATACCTTGGAATTCTTGGATGTCTTTCCCATAACTAATAGGTTCCTATCTGAAGTAAAAAGTGTGATATTGTTGGCCACCTTGAGTGAATTAGCGTGCTGGGGAAACAATGGTAGAATAGTCTTTTAAACTATTATTGGGAATTATACTGTACAGGTAAATCTCATGTTTGTTCATTGAGGGGGTACTAAAACCTTTAAAGCTATAAAGAGTTTTTAAAGCTTTATATGGAATAAAACACCAGCAAGTAAAGCAAGTTATGTAGCAGTGAATATGAAATGAACAGGTAGGTGTTTACAGGTAAGAAGAGTGATGAATACTGTAGAAATTATTTAGTGTGTCATAGAGCCCACAAAAAGACTATCCTGCACTTGCAATAACGTCTATTTAGTGCAAAAAGATCTAGTTAGCATGATACATTAAGCAATATATTCCATAAAATATTTGTGCAATTAAGTACCACTTTATTCATGCTAGGAGTCAAAAGTGCTGAAATAGAAGAATTGGATGAGCTCCCAGGAAGGTATATCTACTATCTAGAACAAATTGCTATGCAGAATCTGGCTTGTGCTATCTATAAAGCTATGTCATATGTGACAATTCAGGATATACTGTAGGGCATTTGACTTCTGATTTATAAGATACATGTTTTCTGAACTTTGGAATAGTAAATAGATCTGATAAAAATGTTCCAAAGGTTGCATGTAACATTAATGATGGATTACATGCATGCCTGCTCAAGTTTTTTTATTTGGGAAATTCAAGATAGTTAATCTCTACAGTTGGTTATATTTATGAGATTAAATTGTCCATTAAATCTGGAAAGTTTCAAATTAAAACTGCTACTGTTATCAGTGACTATTCCATGAATCTGATATTATAGAATTGTAATACTATACCTGTGCTGCATATTTATATGATAAAGAGCATTTTTCGGGCATTTCTGTCACCATCAGTGAAAGATGTTAAAGCTGTCTTCAAAGCTTTTAGAGTCATTTTCAAAGAAGTTGATGAAATTGTATATGTTGTGTTCAAGAATTTCTGCCTAGAAATTTTTTATCTCTTAGAACAGATTTTCAGAGTAGTGTAGCCTTCTTCATTTAGCTCTTTATCTCAGGAATATGCAGTACTACATTGTACATTCTAAAATGCTACCATCATACTCTGTAGACATGTGGCCACTGTGAAGTTTACAAAAAGTAAAAACCATAAAAGAAAAAGATGCAGCTGCTCTGTGGATGTGCATTTTAATTATAGGTGAAAATACTGCATATTGATTTATAATATAGTCTAGAATCCTATCTGTAAAATTACAGTAGCAGGAGATTCCCCAAGTGTAAGAAAACAGTTCATTTGTTAGTTGTTACCTGGTAAGAAGCACAACTTATAAACAGAGGTATGCATAATTTGAGCCCTCATTGAATTTCATGAGGTCTCTTAATGAAGCTGGAAGAAGATATTATGTGACTTGTGGGGCAGTAAATTTTTATTGTTGCTCTAGGGACAGGCAAAAAAAAAGAGCCTGAAGAAAATCTGTGCAGACTGTTGAAGGAATAAAAACATTTTTAAATCAAATCTCAGAACATTGTGTTGCCATTTCAGCTGGTTTTTGTGGTCCTTCTACTGTTCATCAGGGGTTCCCAACCAGGGGTGCTCGCACAGACGATATTCCAGGGGGTGTAAAAACTTGGTTTTTCAAAATTATAGTGTATATGCATAATTTGTTGCCATTATTTCAAACTTTTGTAAGAGATGCGAGAATATGCGGTGCGGGGAATAGAAAAGGTTGGGAACCACTGGAGTAGATGAACACAAATGTAGATCTTCATGCATGTGCTGTCATCTACTGCAGAATGTTTTGCTTGTTCAACAAGTTCAACATTTTGTCATGAAGGCTTTCATTTTCTTGTTGTCAGCATATTTTCCACCGGAAAAAAAATGTAAACTGTATTTAAGCAGTTATCTAGCTTGAGTTCTCTTTAAGTGTAATCTCATGCAAAATCCTGAATAAGTGAACAAAAAGATAATCTCAACTTCAGCATTTTTGATGTCTTATGTCCTTGAAGTTTCCTTTACTTTTTTGTTAGTTTTAGGGAAGTAATTTACACTGCTTTCTTTTGCATGGGGAAGGGAGTTTTTTGTACTCAGGAGTTGACTGTTGTAGAAGTTGAAAAAGTCCCAGGTATTCATCATAGACTGTAAAGGTCTATAAAATTTCCAAATCAGAGAAAAATACTTTTAAATGTTCTTCATCAATCTAAAGTCACTTTGTTACAATATGATTTCTATCTGAATAACAATGAAAACTAGTTTTAATGGATTAATTGGAAAGAGGGTTTGTCCATTATTCTCCACAGGGTTGTCAATTGAAAAGCATGTCATTACAGCAATCCAGATAACTTCATTTGTGTTACCTGTGTCTGCATGATATCAACATATATTATGTCAAGAATATCATTTCCATAATGCAGTTATATAAAATGATGTACACTGCTGCAGAATTTCATTCATTGCATTGACATCTGGAAAATGGACGTTGCAGTGATTTTGTTTGGCCAGATTATCCTGTGTGTAATTGATCTACAGATTTAGTAGCATAATTGGATAAGTGATTTTGCAACAGCTAGAGTATAAAGCATTCAGGTTATAAAAAGGCTTCCCCACTTGTTTATGTATCTGACATAAAGTTTTTCTTCCTATGTAAATTACTACTTTATTTAAAAGTTGCCTTAAGTTCTGGTGATCAGTGTAGTATTCTGCAGACAAAAATATCTTATATTGAAATCTAGAACTAAGTATTTAGCTTTAGGACATTATCTATCTAAAGCAGTGGTTCTCAACCTATGGGTCGCGACCCCATTTGGGGTCGATTGACCATTTCATGGGGGTCGCCAAGCAAGGCTGTCCGCCATTTTTTCCCCCTTTTCCGGCGGGTGCCTTACCTCCCTTGAGCTGGGCCAGCTGGTGGTCCGCCTGCTCCATCTCTGCCGCTTGCCAGCTACGCCTCGGCTGGCGCAGGGGGCGGAACCACGCATGCGTAGCACTTCCGGGCAGGGAAAGTCCTCGACTTACAACCGGTTGGGTAGTCCTCGACTTACGACCGGTTTAGTCCTCGACTTACGACCGGTTTAGTCCTCGACTTACGACCGGTTTAGTCCTCGACTTACGACCGGTTGGGGGTCGCGGCATTAAAAAGGTTGAGAACCACTGATCTAAAGGGAGGGTATTCCATTAATATAGGCTCCTTTAACTTTCAGCTTTCTACCATGGCAGGGTTCTTTTTTATGATTCAGTGGTAAAAGTAACTTTTTTCCAGATTTTGAATACATTTCACTAGTACTGCTTCCTGCTGGTTTTCTTTCTTTCACTAGTACTGCTTCCTGCTGGTTTAATTTTTGGTAACGTCTCTTTGAAATATATAATACAAGCATATTGCAATCTTGAACACAATCATAATAAAGCTATATGATACAGTCTTATTCTGCTCATGTAAACTTTGAAAATCTCACTTGTTCAGCAAAGCTTTTTAGAAAGGATGCATTGAATATACAGTAATTGAAGAATATTTTAGAGTACACTTCTTAGTAGTGCTAGCTGAGACAAAAAATATTTTTGGGCATTTCTTCAAGAACATAAAATGTTATTTTGATGTACAGTCGTACCAGAATTGTTAACTTATTAAAGCTGATAGTTCTTTTTTTTTTTTAATTATAAAAACAAAATAAAACTCCTTAAGTTTGCTTTCTAAAGGCTATTGTTTGGGCTACAGTTTTATAAGGTTGCTAAGGCTATGAAATTAATAGGGCTGTGCAGAACCATGGGGGACGCTTAAGTCATGGCAAAACTGCAGGTGAGAGGGTTAGTTTTCAAAACTTTGTGGCAGATCTCTTTGAATGAAAATTCAGAGCAGCCTTATGAAAACCTTCCAGCCCAGGTTATCTGTTTATGTATCAGTTTACCAAATAAATAAATAAATAAATGTATATGGGCAAGTGCAATGAACGTTGCTGCTGACACTGCCAGTTTGTCCCTGAAGTGAAGCAGCTTACCTCATTGCAGTCCCAGC